TTTCATATTACAACTATCATAGTTTGGAAGTCATGCTGCTTATATAAGAGACAGTTCAGAAAATGAAAGCATGGGTTCTATGACTTGTTGCATTCGGATTAATGTATAAAGTCTTTATACATTCAGTTTGCAGAGAAGTTTCAGGAATTTAAAGAAGCTGCTCGACTAGCAAAGGAGAAGTCACAGGAGAAGATGGAACTTACCAGTACACCTTCACAGGTAAGCATTTAATTTCTATTTTTATTTATGAATGTTACTCATTTTCTGGCTTTATGCCAGTATGAAATTTGGGATAATAATGGTGAATTTAATTCCCACAGTGGATTATAGAAATGTATTCTTCAGTTACTCTTTATTGATAGAGAAATATTTTTTCTCTATGTCAATGTCTATAAGAATATTGTTAAAAATCAGTTTAGTAATTGATTCAGATAAACCTTATGTACCTAACAACAGAAGAGCAAAGTATGTAAAGGTCATAGACTGGCCCTTATTTTATTTCTGTCCTTTTAACCAGGTGGTAATCAGGCAAAGTTAGCAAAACAAAACCCCAAACAATAACAACAAAGGGCCCCAGAAACTGGGCCTGGCATACCCCGCAGAGCCACATGAGAGAGCCTGAAGGGAGTTGGCAAAAGGCAGATAGCAGAGCCAAGGGACTCTAATTGAAAGCTTTTTGGGGATTTCCATGGGAAAGGGGAAAGGAAAATAGTTTAAGATTAGCTAGTTTGAAGAATTCCATTGCTCTCAGTCTCCAGTGACCTCTGACCTGACCTCTGACTGTAGGATGATTAAGGAGAGGAATATGTCTCTAAGATACTAGGCCAGATAAAGGAGCTAGCTTGTTTGATATTGGTATGGCTAGTTTGAAATCAAAGGCATGCTCCCTACTAAGCCCGTAGTATCCCTAACAATTGGCTAATACTAGGGGAGAGAAGTAGTTTCTCCAGTCAAAACGTTACAAAATATTGGTCTAGATGTTTCAGTGGGTAGAAGGCTTGTGTGCAGACCTGATGACCTGAGTTCCATTCCCAGATCCCACAAGGTGTCAAGAAGAGGACCAGCTCCCAAGAGTTGTCTTCTGATCGCCACATGCCTGCCATAGGGTGCTCCTGTGCATATTTTCTCTCTCTCTGTAAAAAACAATGTTTTAAAAATTCAAAACATTGTAAAATGCAGAACATTAAAAAATATAAACCATGCGGTTTGTTCTTACTGATTTTAAGATCTACTTAAATCTAACTCTATTTGGTAAATTCCACTAGTATATAAAGAGTTCTTTTTTCAATTAGGAGAGTTTTGCTAAGTATATTTTCCTCAGACTAAAGGTTTACTTTGGATTGAAGCCAAAGCTCTATTCTTCCATACTTCTGGTAACCTAGAATAACTTGGATGATTATTGTGAAACTTCTTTGAATCTCTTCTTCATGTGCTCAGGTAGTGTACTGATATTTTTAAACATAAAAGTCATTTAAAATTAAGTGCCTGGACATATTGGGAATTCTGATTCCTTGGGTGAATGATTCTACTGTTACAAGAGAGGTACATTTAGTAAGTGAATATGCAAAACATTTCATTAAAATTGTAATGGGTCATAATCTTTGTTTTTATTTGAGATAGTGAAACACATTAAGAGTATTTGGAATAGGAATGTAGCTCAGTTGTAGAGACTACTTGTCTACCAGACCCTAGGTTGATCTCCATCCAGCACTACAAAACAAAACAAAAAACCTAAAGAATGCAGAGGCACAAGATGACTCTTGTAAAAGTGTTTGCAGTGTAAACCTGATGACCTGAGTTTGAGCCCCAGAACCTATAAGGTGAAGGAGAGAACCAACTCCCAAAAGTTGTCCTGACCTTAACATGTGTGCTGTGGCACTCATGTCCTTCCTCCTCCCTCCTCCCCCTACCCCTTTCCTTGAAGAAGTTGTTTAACCCAAGTGTGTTTACACATCTGTAACATGACTATTACATTACTTAGAGAGTTGAGAGAGGTAATATAATGACAGTGACAACTCATGGTTAATAATGTATTGGATGCTTTACTAGTTTATGAATTTAGCCAGATTTTTGGTTGTGTATGTATGTGTCTGTCTGTCAGTCTCCCTGCCTGCAAAGTGGGAGTAAAAACAACATGTTCTCAGGGTTATTGTGAGAATTTAATGAGGATTAGAAAATGCTTAGCATATAATAGTAAATATAGCCACTCGTTGGTGATATGGCTATAATGGTGAGGATAATAATTCAATGTCTTAAAATAGTGTTTGACACATAAGTTGTTTAGACAAACAGATGTTTTGCATTAGACTACCCTTGAAGAGTTGTTAAAGCACACCACAGTTTCTTGTTCATCAGGTCTGAGATAGAGCCCTGGACTTTGTATTTCTGATTCCTTTTCAGGAGATACTGATCCTGAACAACGATACTTAGAAAAGCAGTGCTATAAACAAACCATTCTACCTCTCTTAAAAGCTTGAAAGTTGAAAGGAGTCTGGCATTGAGAGGAAAGTTGGCCACCTCATTTTTCTTAGCCTCTTGAGCTAAGGCTGTCTCTACTCCTGGCTTAGTACCGAGAAAATTAAAGCCAGCATGGCCTGATAAAGTAGCATAATAGCTGATAGTCAAAAGAGACTGCAGTAAGTATTGATTAAAGAGCAGTGGAAGGATAGTGGGAGGACAGGAGATTGTAGGAGTACAAGTTCTCCTTTGTCTGTTGGAATCATAACCAATAGTTGATCTGTTAATCAGAGTGTTAAGCCAGGGTTTGAAGCACAGTCCTGTAATCTCACCTACTCGGGATGCTGAGGAAGGACGATGGGGACACCTGACTGGGCTACAGAGTGAGTTCAGTACCATCCTGGACAATTTAGAAAGAGTATGTCTCAAAATAAAAATAAGTAGAATGGAAACTATGTATTGCTCAGTGGTACAGCACTTGCCTAGTATGCCTGAGGCCTAGATTCAATCCTTAATATTGGGGGAGAAAAGGTGAGGAAAAAAATTTTAAAGGATTCTTACTTAAAATTTTATATTAAATTCAATAATTTAATGCTTTAATTTACCAGTGTTGTGATACAAAGCCTTTGAACATGCTGTTGCATAGAATCTTACCTTATCTTCCTTATCTTATTGGAATAAACTATACTAATAGTTAGTTGTCTTCAGTTTCCAGGTCAGTTTTGTTTTAGTTTTTAAGGATGGCTTCATTTTGGTTTACAGTTCAAAGGGATACATTTCATTATGACAGAAAAAGTGTGGCAGCTAACCACATTACACCTATAGTCAGGAAGCGGAAAGAGATGAACTCCAGGCTGTTTTTTGTTTTTGTTTTTTTGGGGGGGTTTTTTGGTCTTTTTGAGACAGGGTCTCCCTGTAGCCTCAGCTGGCCTGGAACCCGCTGTATAGACCAGGCTGGCCTCGAACTCACAGAGATCTGTCTGCCTCAGCCTCCCAAGTGCTGGGATTAAAGGCATGAGGCCCCACATCTGGCATTTAGCCTTTTTAAAACCTTTCATTTATTGTGATAAAAAATAAAGGTTCTAGTTTTCCATTCAAATTTTATTAATTTACATAATAAATAATTAGTTCAGTTATTATAAATAGTTGTCATAAGCAATCTTGAAACAAATCAGCTGGTTCTCAACAAGCATTTACTGTACCTAGTGGGTATAAAATACCTAAGCACAGTAAAGATTAACCCATTAGTTGTGTGACTGTCAGTCAGTACCCTTTACAAAGGGAATGAAGAATATGAGCCTAGGGTCTGGAGACATGGCTAAGTCTTTCTTCCAGAGGATCAGAGTTTGGTTCTCAGCACCCACATCAGGCAACTCACAACTGCCTGTACCTCCAGTTCCAGGAAATCTGACACCCTCTTCTGGCATCTGCAGGCATGTGGCATGCAGACAGAGACACACAAATACACACAATTTTTAAAAATTTAATCTTAGCCAGGTGTGGTGGTACATGCCTTTAATCCCAGCACTCGGGAGGCAGAGGCAGGCAGACCTCTGTGAGTTCAAGGCCAGTCTGGTCTACATAGTGAGTTCCAGGACAGCTGGGGCTACAGGGAGATCCTGTCTCAAAAAGACCAAAAAAAAAATTTTTTAATCTTAAGGGGCTGGAGAGATGGCTCAGCGGTTAAGAACACTGGCTGTTCTTGCAGAAGGCCTGAGTTTGAATCCCACCACCTACATGGAAGCTAACAGCTGTCCATAACTCCAGTTCCAGGGGATCCGACAGACTCTTCTGTCCTCTGCAGCATTGCATGATATGGGTGCACTTACATACATGTAGGCAAAACACTCATACACATAAAATAAAAATAATTAA